GGTGAAATACCGAATTATGTTTTTCAAATATGCGTGAATTATGGTCAGTAGAAAATACCACGTAATATAATATCGCTTACGAACTGTCTGTCAATAAATATGAGTTATACAGAACAAATTGTCACAGAAAATAATAATACATATTTCAAGTTGTAACATTACAATGATTTGAGTATTTCAATCCTGTAATAAGATTATAGAAGAATGTTTACATTTTGATTTCGATGTATAATTTCATGACGTTCTCAAAATTTTATACGAACTATGTATACAGTATGAATTTACATATTAATGCGCGTGGAAGGCAATACTAAATTTACATTTAAAATACACAAAATTTGTTTACTCTTGTAACGCATAACTAAAGGGGAAAAATGAAATATATACAGATACAACGTATATTTGTACTCAATTCGTTTATATAATGTTTCTATAAAAAGAAAACAAGAGAAATTAAGGAGTTGTCTATAACTGGATACAAACCTAGGAACTTGAAAAATTAGTACAATTGGATGGGAATTTGTATAATTTTGAAGTATATACATATAGATATGTATATGTGTGTGTGTGTGTATATATACATATTATGTATATATGCATTATGTATATATACGGTATCAATGCACAAGCAAGCATAATTTTGTGGAGTACGGCATACGTAGATTCTTTGTTTACGACTTGTTTCAATGAATAGACAAAATAATAGTGATTATAGTCAGACATAAACATACTCTTGCATTACATGAACATAGAATGTTCTTCATCATTTTTTCGCTAATGATAATGCGTATGTAGGTATTATCAAAAGATATGATTGCTTATACCGTGTCTTCCTAATTAGGATACGGAAATATTCTCCTATCTTTTGTCTTTTTTTTATTGGAATCTAAGAGAGCTTGGGGTGGAAAAAAAAGTCTACTGCATCTTCTACAAAAATAGATATCCATCGAATTAATCTTTGAAAAAATCGAGCAAGAAATACAATAAAGAGTGTAAAATAGAGCCAAATATTTGGAGATATAAAATATCGGACGTAATAGTTAAGAAATTATACATGAATTTATACCTTATAAGAGCATCGTGACACTGCGATCAGATCGCAACGTGAGCGTTTGCGAGTGTCGAAAATACCAGTAAAAATACTTTTAAGAAGATATTGTGATGCTTTATTGTTAATATCGACATGAATCTTCGTGTATGAGAATAACTGACTAGAGAGGATACAAAGGCTGTGCAAAAGCTATATTCGAAATATAATACCTACACAAGAATATAGAGGATTTTTTATAAAATCCATTATCTTATCCTTCTGCATACAATGATGTACATATATTTAATCATGCTATGAATTCTATAGTCGAGTTCAACAATAAGTGAAAATAAGTCAAATGTATTATACATAAATTGCTTAATTTTTTAAATACTGGACTCCAATACATATATGTATCATAAAATAATAACTAAAAGAGTTAAGTATTTAGATTTATTATTTTATTAACCTTCAGTACGATTTTTAACACTTCATATGATGGGTCTTTCATTTTCATTACTTTTACAAGTATATAAAAATTATTAAATGATACTTACATATATTTAAAATTTTCAAAAATTTGTAAAATTTGTATATGAACGTTATAGCTCATTATAGTCAACAAAATGAGAAAAATGCACTTTCATATAGCAGAACTGTGAAAAAAAATGTTTAAAAGAAAAATATGTTTCAATATTTTAAAATTAAAATATTGATATTCCAAACTGCAAAAGAAAAGTTCAAGTATCGGTTGTCCAAAAAAGTTTACTTATTAAATAGTAACATATTTTATAGTGTATAAATAGGTTTAAATTGAACATTTATTGCATTTACATTTTAAACAATGCGTTATCATTGATATTGCATTACGAAAAGTTACAACTTAATTAGAAAACATTTTTTAATTTTTATTTGAATATTTTTTAATTTTTATATATTTTAAAAATATTTACAGAATTTCACATATACATTTTTTAATAGTTCGTGAAATTTTTACAATATAAACGAGATTAATTGAAAATAAATAGATGTCTTAGACATTTTATGTCCTAATTTTGGATATTTGTCGTCTGAATATTTTGATTGAAATGGACATAAGAATATGTTCTTCATTTAATTTATCCTCATTCAATGAATGTTAAAATAATATATGTCGACTCTGTTCAACAGTACACTGAAATATTCCAGTAGTACTATTTCAATGCCATAGTACTGAGAGTCAATCATTTTCTCCAAGTAATTTTTTTTCCAAAGACAGAAACGTGAAAAGTAAAATTTTTTTTATGATGTGTGTATGTACAATACAAAAAAATTTCACTTTTCTGCTCCAAAGAAAAAATTATAGGATTAATACCTTAAAAATCTATAGCGTGTAATATAAACTATAGATTGCCAGTACATTTCACGGAACGCATCCAAAGAATCATGGTACAGAAAAAGTAGTAAAGAAATCACAACATATTCGATTTGTTAAATCAGCTAAATTGTGACCTTACGGTCTCTATTATGATTGGCCAATTCGCATACTGCTATTTTATTGTTTAATTTTTCTTTTGTGTGCCACGATCCTAAATTAATTGAAATTTCTTCAAAATCGCCGAAAAACTAAGAAATTAAAAAAAAATCCTCCACCTGTAGGGTGGATTTTCATGTGCATACAAGTTCGCCCAGTAAAATAAAGATGGCGCGCATTTGTACACACCCACATAGACAGGCGCAGGGTGCGTGTAACGTAGAACGTCGATGTAAACATGCGCCGGCGGCGGGCGCAGACGGAGGCTGGCATGTGATTCTGGCTTTACTGTAGATAATACGAGGTTGGCGAAAAATGGCGGACGAACAGGTGAGTCGCCGACGAGAATAAACACGTCTCATCCCGCGCGTGACGCAACGCTATTAATCGCATTACAGAGCGGGCGTCGCACAAGCGGCCGCGACCCGCCAATCCGCCGGCGGAATCCGCGCCGGATTTCCGCGTGCGTCGTCCAACCCACACTCGTGTGTGCGTGCATGCGTGCGTGGAATACCGAGTACGTACTCAGTACGTGCGTACGTAGTGCCGAGTGTGCGGCGCGTCCGCGCGCATTCGCCGCATTTCTCGAATTTCGCGGGGAAAGCCGTGCCGGGAAAGAATCCTTGCTCCAAGAAGGAATCTCGTTTCTTTCGCGCGCTATTGACAAAACGATACCGTACGACGCAGACTTCGGTTCAATCGCCGCCGCTCCGATCGCCTACTGATAGTACTGATCGCATATCGTTGCCGATCGCGCGCCGTTGCGCCACACCGTTTGGTCGCTCTCCGTTTCGCCACGCTCGTCAAGCTGAAAGAGTTTCTTGTGAACGCGAACATCGGCTGATCCAACGGATAATTAACGGCCGATTAGAAAAATCATCTGATCCACAGTGTCACAGTGTGCTATGTGGTGCCAGAATCGGTGAAATCGCCGAGTGCAAATTACTGATCGCGCGGTTGGACGGCGCGTTCCGGTTACGATTCTTCCTACGACGAGCGTCACGTGAAAGCTCACACGGTGCGATGTAAATGAGAAAAAAAAAAGTGCGATGACTCCGCCGCGCGGAGTTTTGGGGCGCGACTGCGTCGCCGTCGACGTTGTTTATCTTCGTGTACGTTGTTTGTACGCCGCCGCCACCGCGCCGGGGGATACACCCGCGTAACGGAAGCCGCAAAGGTTTGCGGGAGTGTTTATTCAGCGAGAACGATACCTGGCCACATTTGGCCGCTAAATTGACCGAATTCTCTATTTCCATCGTAGTGCACATTTATTTACAACCTGTCGCAACCCGTGAAATCCCGCGTAGAATCCTGCGCGTCAGCTGGCACGTTTCCGGAATATTGTTCTAGTATTTCATCGATAACATTTCGTGCGCAATTTTATCGGCAAAATAAACGCGACGAACGTTCTTCCGCGGGACAGAGATCTCAATCTCTATTTTTTTTTCTACTCCGTTATCGCACATTGTGTGTGTGTGTGTGTGTGTGTGTGTGTGTGTGTGTGTGTGTGTGTGTGTGTGTGTGTGTATGCGTGTGTGCGTGTATATGTGTATGTATGTATGTAAAAAAAGTAAATATCTTATAATTTATAAGTTGCGCTATTTAAACACGTGTGATTCTCCTTGAGCTGTTTATCTCATCATTCCTTCGTCTTTCGGATACATTTGTTTAATATTTTCATATATATATATACTGATTATTTCAGACAATTTTTGTTTTAATTAGTCGATTCCATAAAATATATTCCCTGTTTATTTTATGCGACTTGAAAAATGTGTTTGTAAAGTGTTTAATAAAACATTATGCTAATTTCAACGAATTGGGTAGAATTCATTGTTTATCGCAGGTTGGGGCATACAAAATATCATAACGTCACTTTTATGTTTATTACTGATATAATACTCTCTAAAACTTTTAGAATGAACCTCGTTTCTGAAGAGTAAAATCTCTTAAAATTATTCTTTTTTTGGGACTCAATTTTTATTCTTTAGTATGAGCTTCTACTTAAAAGAATTTAGACAGTACAGAATATGTACATGATTGGAATTTTTAAATATTTAAATTTTTAATATTTAAATTTTAAATATTTAAATTTTTTAAATATTTAATACCAATGCAGCTTAAAAAAGTATCAATATCTCGATGATGATATAATCTTGAAATCTTATGATCTTTTATGGGATAAATTCGGTCACTTGTACTATACTGGATCGCATATTAAAAACTATTTAATATAAAGTTAAATACAGTGGTATAATATAATCAACTTTGACAATAAAATAATGTATGTAGATTTTGTTAAATAATGTGACAATATCATAGGGTACTTAATCGTTTAAAATATTTACATGCTTCTATATTTTGCTAATTTCATGTACCTATAGTAGCTTTCAGTATACATAATGTAGTAAATATGACGAATTCGCTATTACTTCGAGTTAAATAACCCAATATTTTATGCGCCACCCTGTATACAAAAGAAACGAAACTGTCTTCAGGTTTTTCTTTTATCTCCATCTAAGTAAGTTTCAAACTGTGATTCTGCCGGCATAATGCAACTGTATTGTAAAATCTGTATTGTAAATGTCTTCGACAGTAACGACAAGTCGCCAATAAAGATTTACGTGGCACCATAAAAAGTGGATATATTGTTACTGAAACTTTTTTTAGACTTGTACCTAAATGGAAGTCTTAAGAGACGGCTTTAAACAGTGTGACTAAGAATGGATCACATACAGGAAGTACGGCAGCTGGAGTTGCTATGCAAGCAATTGTACGAGTCGCAGGATTCAGCGCATCGCGCAGAGGCGGAAAAAGCCCTGGTCGCTTTCCAGAATGCACCAGATACTCTTACGAAATGCCAGCTTCTCCTGGATCGCGGAGACTCTGCGTACGCTCAATTATTGGCCGCTACCACCTTAACGAAGCTGGTATCACGTTCGGCACAGGGACAACTTACAACAACACTCAGCTTACAACAGAGGCTTGATATACGTAAGTGACAGTCTATTCTGTTTTGTTATGTAAGACAAAAGAAATATGTCTCTTGAGATTTAAAGATGCAAGATTGGTTTCAATTTGTTTAATATATTTGCAGGAAATTACGTACTCAACTACTTAGCAACACAACCAAAGTTACCGAATTTTGTGATACAGGCTTTGGTTACACTATTCGCGAGGATATCAAAGCTTGGGTGGTTTGATTCCGATAAAGAGGAATTTGTCTTCAGGAATGTAGTCAGCGATGTAGCTAAGTTTCTTCAGGTTTGACATACTTTATTCAATGTTCTTTACACGCTGCATTTCTCTATGTGCATACATTATTTTTTTATTCATAATGTTTTATTGTAATGATTAAAGGGGTCAGTGGAGCATTGTATGATAGGAGTACAGTTGCTTTCTCAATTGACGTGTGAAATGAATCAAATATCGGAAGCCGATGCGAACAGATCTCTGACGAAGCATAGAAGAATAGCGAGTAGCTTTAGAGACACACAACTATTTGAAATATTTAGGTTATCATGTACCTTACTAAGCACTGCTCGCGAGAATTGTAAAAATTTAAATTTCAACGATGAGGCGCAGGTATGGTAATTACATACAATTAATGATTGTTTGCGATATATAAATTAATGCATCGTCTGTATATCTCTTTTCTGCAGCACGGTTTGATAAGACAATTGTTAAAGCTTGCACAAAATTGTTTGACATTTGACTTTATTGGTACATCAACTGATGAAAGTTCGGATGATCTTAATACAGTACAAATCCCGACAAGTTGGAGACCTGCGTTCCTGGATTTTACTTCGTTGAAATTGTTTTTTGATCTATATCACAGTCTACCTAATACATTATCGTGTTTGGCACTCTCATGCCTGGTTCAAATAGCGTCGGTCAGACGGAGTTTATTTTCCAATACTGAAAGGGCAAAATTTTTGACACACTTAGTCAATGGTATTAAGCATATACTACAAAATCCTCAGGGTCTTAGTGATCCAGGAAACTATCACGAGTTTTGTAGATTATTATCTCGACTGAAGAGCAATTTCCAACTTGGCGAGTTGGTTTTGGTAGAGGATTATCCCGAAGCAATACAACTGATCGCAAAGTTTACAGTGCAAAGCTTACAAATGTGGCAATTTGCGCCAAACAGTCTGCATTATCTTTTGACTCTATGGCAAAGGATGGTATCTTCAATGCCGTATGTAAAAGCTGGTGATCCACATTTATTGAATACGTACACACCAGAAGTTACAAATGCGTACATTACATCGAGACTCGAATCGGTAGCAGTAGTGGTCAGAGAACGCTTGGAAGATCCATTGGACGATCTAGGAGTGGTTCATCATCAGTTAGAACAAATATCAGTCATTGGTAGGTGCGAGTATCAAAAAACCTGCACCTTACTAGTCCAATTGTTTGATCAAGCTGCAAGAACATACCAAGAGTTAATGGCGCAAACGGTGTCGCCAACGCAACAGATTGATATTGCAATTCAAGAAGGACAACTCACATGGCTTGTATATATCATAGGTAAATGGAATATATTAATGCATATTTCTTTTAATATATTAAAATATATTAAGGCATAACTAACCATATTGTATTAATTAGTATTGTATTAATTTTTTATTAAATTTTAATTATTTATTAAAATATAAATTTAATTGCGTTTAATAATGATTAAAATATATTAACAATACTATTCAATTCTTTCCTCATTATCTTTTATAGGTGGTGTTATTGGCGGAAGAGTGGCATTTAACAGTAACGAGGAATTTGATGCTATGGATGGAGAACTGGTTTGCAGAGTGCTTCAATTGATGAATCTAACTGATTCAAGACTCGCGCAAGGGGGCTGTGAAAAACTGGAATTAGCAATGTTGAGCTTTTTTGAGCAATTTCGAAAAATCTATGTTGGTGATCAAGTTCAAAAGAATTCTAAAGTATACAGGAGGTTGTCTGATGTGTTGGGTCTTAATGATGAGGCGATGGTACTCAGCATTTTTATTCGAAAGATGTAAGTGGATTTGTATGATACTTACGAAATTTCCTATGCTACGAATTAATGCTGAATTATAATTTACAGAATAACGAATTTGAAGTACTGGGGTAGGAGTGAACAAATTATTTCCAAGACACTACAACTTTTAAATGATTTATCAGTTGGTTATAGTTGTGTTCGTAAACTCGTCAAATTAGAAGAAGTACAATTTATGCTCAACAATCATACGGTATTATATACTAATATCTATTATTGCTTAAGATTTTGTATAATTGAGTTATAACTTCAACCTTTCTTGTATAATAATTAAATTAAAAAATAATTAGATTTTTTTCTATTGATATTGTAGCGAGAACACTTTCCATTTTTGGGAAACAATGTTGCTGTGACAGAAATGCGCTGTAGATCAATGTTTTACACATCTCTTGGTAGATTATTGATGGTAGACTTAGGTGAGGACGAGGAAAGGTTTCATACCTTTATGTTACCTCTTACAGGTAAGAAAATTTAATTAATTTTTTTTTTAAACATATTTGTGACACTTAAGTTTTTATATATAATTTCAGGTGCATTAGAGAGTCTTGGTCAATTAATGGGTGCTGCAGATACACCTCTCTTTGCAGCAGAAGAAGCAAAGAAAGCGTTGATTGGTTTAGCGCGAGATCTTAGAGGCTTAGCTTATGCATTCAACACCAAGACATCCTATATGATGCTTTTTGATTGGATGTACGTATATATAAGACATAAAAGTACAAATATTTACTATTAATCAATATGAATATAAAAAAGCAATTATTTTCTTTTACTGTCGATGTTTTCTCTGAATTTAGATATCCGAATTATACACCGATTTTATTACATGCTGTGGAGTTGTGGCATCACGAACCGCAAGTGACAACGCCCGTCCTGAAGTTATTTGCTGAGTTAGTACAAAATAGGAGTCAACGATTACAGTTTGATGCATCGTCTCCAAATGGGATACTGTTGTTTCGCGAGGCTAGCAAAATAATATGTAGCTACGGCAATCACATATTAAACGTTGAAGTACCTAAGGATCAGATTTATCCTTTAAAACTCAAAGGAATAAGTATATGCTTCAGTATGTTAAAGGCAGCCTTATGTGGAAGTTACGTAAACTTTGGAGTATTTAGGCTATATGGTGATGAGGCGTTAGACAATGCCCTTAATACATTTGTTAAATTACTCCTTAGTATTCCACAAAGTGATCTCTTGGTAAGTATATACATTAGTCACAATATTTTATTTATTTCATTTATTATTTAAATAATTTGCTTTTTATAGATAAATCAAATTGTATCAGTAATATTGATCAATTATTACATAATGATAAAAATATTTATTTTATATTGTTGTTATTTTGTTTTTTTATTTTGTTAATATTTTACATTGTTTTTCACAGCATTATCCAAAACTATCAGCAACATATTATTTGTTACTCGAATGTCTGGCGCAAGATCACATGGTCTTTTTATCTACTTTGGAACCTAGGGTTTTTCTGTACATCCTTTCCAGTATCAGCGAAGGCCTTACAGCACTAGGTGCGCAAAAAGACTTCTATACAGGTCTGTGCGGCTGATTCTATCTTGCTACTCTCTATATCCTCAATGCCATATCTTGAAATTAAAATTATTTTAACACTTAGATGAATGATGTATGAGTTAAAAAAGATGTTTTTCTTGGTTAATATTTCTAGAAAAATTTTTTTATAATTTACAAAAAATGGAAAGATGATTAAAGATATTTAACACGTATCGTATTACAGAATTAAACGTACATTAATAATTTATTTATACAGTTATTAAAAGAGTAAATTCAAAAAGAATTTATTCAAAAATTATAAGTATATACAGAATTAAAAAATTATTATAAATTTTCCTTTGAATTATCCTTTGAACATATTTCCTTATATAAACATCTATTTCACTGTTGCGAGCAATCAGCAAGATTATAACATTAATCTTTTTTATATTAGAATTTTATATTGGTTTTATAATATTTGCTTTTTTGCATTACTGCTTGGAATGTAAATTTGCCTATAGAATTAGTCACTGCGACAGTTCAAAATGCAAGGAATAGACGCATATTTCAAGTACTTTATTATGCACAATGAAGAAAATCACTGAAAACACTTTATGAATAACATTGGCTATAAGAGGATTGGAGTGCGTGGAGCCTGGACCCTAAATATGATAAAATGCAATATGCAAGAACCACATAGCTTGTATTCTCTATAATATGTTCTATGAGTGTTATGCAATTTTCTGTTTCTATTGAAACGAAATTGAATAATGGGTCTGACATAGATAATCAGCCGCACAGCTGATATATTACTAAATACATTAACATTGAGCTAGATTATATGTGTTTTATATAATAACTAATGTACTAATTGCAGAGAGTTGCATGTATTATTATTGATGTGCTTGAATATTTTTAATAAATCATATGCAGTATGAATGGATCTCAATTGAATGTGTGTGTGTGTGTGTATGTGTGTGTGTGTGTGTGTGTGTGTGTGTGTGCGTGCGTGCGTGCGTGCGTGCGTGCGTGCGTGCGTGCGTGCGTGCGTGCGTGCGTGTAATATATTAATATTTTTATAATATTTATAAATAGATAATATTTATAAATAGATACATAAAATAATAAAAATCAAATTTTTTAGATTTTATGCAGTTGTGGTTAGCAACATTTTTAAGTTAATAATGATAATTGTGATTTTGTATAGAATAATATGTTGTTTATATTATAATTATGTATTTATGTAGAATATCTTTAAAATTTCCTTTACTTAGATTTCTGTAATAATTTTTATTAATATTATTTGTGTTTATTAAATTACAAAGTATTAAATTATATAGAGAAGCAGGTAAGTTTTATTAAAAAATTCGCAATGCTGGTATTTTGGTTGCACGTATTTTTCATTGTGCTGGAATTTTAAGGATATACATATATTCACTTCTTTTTAATAATAAAAATTGAAGTAAAAATAAAATTTTCTGATTTCAGATACTATGGTTTGTACCGGTTGCTGTGCAACTCTTGATCACATTGTGACATATTTGTTTAAACAACTTTATCAAAAAGGTATCTTAATTTAACAATTATTAACATTATTAATAAAATATATAGCGCATCTTCTATGAAACTGTATTAATTCTTAATCAGGCAAAAAGCATTATCTAATCAGAAAGTTCGAGCTTCAGATATCTTTGTTATTCTTCAGATAAAATTTGAACTTGCAATATCGGAAAATGATAGTAAAATTTATGCTTAGTAAAGTTCGTCCAATTAGAAGATCAATCATGTAACTTTTTCCTAGGGTGGAAATGTAAAAATGGAAATTTTTTTATGTTTAAATTAATTTTTTTATATTTTAATTTTTATGTTTATATATTTATATACATATATACTTATATACTTATAAATTTTCACTTTCCAGTTAGAGAAAAATATTAAATCATCAAAAAAATATCAAAATTATATGATCGATATCCAAAAATTTAACATCACAAAACTTTGAAAAAGAAAACAAAAAGTATCGCAAAAAATAATGCCTTCTAGCTTTTGAGATCGTTCTTGCCTGGTTAAGGGTTAAAGCAAGAAATTAAAAAAAAATATTATATATATTATTATATATAGTATTAATGTTATATGTACATGTTTTCAGGATATCCAGGAAGGAAAAATGCAGTTGTTCCTGGAGGAGGAGAATTATTTTTACAAGTTTTAAAACAGCATCCTGAAATACTTCAACAAATTTTAAGTACTGTTTTAAATGTGATAATGTTTGAAGATTGTAGAAACCAATGGAGCATGTCTCGTCCTTTATTAGGTCTCATATTATTAAATGAGGACGTAAGTTTATATTGATAGTTTCTCTCTTTACAAGGTAATTCCTATAATAT